AATCCTAAATCTTACAAAAGAAAAAAAAATCACTGTGCAATTCAAAGTTTTAATGGCATATGAAATCCAAGTTCTCATAATGTAATTAATTAAATGTTGGTTTACATTTGACTGCATTTGTTTTCCAACAGCATAGTGATTTATAAAATATTCAGGAGAATGGACAACTGTAACCAGCCTCAGTGATACTAAAATAATAAAACATTTAACATCAAATAGATATAATTCTGTCATTTCATTATTAAATTGTGATGTTGCACATAAGTATGTAAAGGATGGAATTTCTATTACATCACTACAAATGTTTCATTGCTCCCCTTTTCCCATCTCCCTCGCATTCAGGAAACATATCTCTCTGACTCATTTTTCCAATCATATTTCATTGGAGAAATTCAATGTAGCAAGTCTCCTATTCTCAAAAAACTAAGCTAAGATTATATTGTCCTTTTCCTTGCCCTTTGCCTTTGTTAAACCTACAGGACCACAAGTAATGAAGAAAAGAAGAGAAAGCTGGGGAAAGCTGAGGGCTCATTTGAAAGCTTTTGACCATACTTGTAGGTCAGCTGTAAAGGAGAATCTGGAAATGAAAGAGCACCATAAAAATTCAAAATGGGCCCAAATCTTACATGACTTCTTTACTGCTGATTTTCTACTTCCTTGTGACTTGATAACTACAGTGAAATGAAGGTCTGAAATTGAAAGCAGAAAAGGAAATTGTCTGTGAAGGACTGACTCATTAGGTAATGAGCTGAAAACACATAGGGTGAATTTGATGATGGACCAAATATGGAGGTCATTACACTGAGATAATCTTTAACCATGCACTAAAAGCAGACTGTCAGTGTCAGCAGCACTTCTGCCGCTGATATCTAAAGCATGACAACAACCAAAAGCAATATTTTATTAATTGATTTGTTTAGCATTTACTCTCACAGTGTTTGCTAAAATTGCAAATCACTTTATAAAACTGACCATTTTGCAGCAGTATTAAAGCCCACAAGTAACAATGTCAGTTTGCAGATGTATTAAGTACAGCTTTTTATATTAACCATTATATGTGACTGATAACTGTTAAATTTGTCCCATTTCACCCTAACATGCAAAATTATTAAAATTATTTGTAGAATATAGTTTAAAATATGAAATCTTATAGTACTTTTTGTAACAAAAAATTTAAGCCGACCTTCCTTAACAGCAGTCTGCTGCCAATTTTTCTTTTTTTCCAAAATTTAAGTCAGTATCTAAGACTTTCATTTAATATTCTGATATATACACAACAAAATGCATTACTTTGAAAGACTAGAAGAGTCTTGCAAAATATCAGCCTATTGGACAACCATATTTATATCTACTAGATGAGAGATATCTATTTCTATGTTTATTTAAGGTGGAATTCTCAAAATGCAGAGCATGGAACTTATAGCAGCCTCAATAACAGAAGTCAAATTAAGCCAAGGTCAGGAACTAGAGAAAATGCCATTGTGAAAGAGAGAGAGAGAGAGAGGGAGGGAGGGAGGGAGGGAGGGAGGGAGGGAGGAAGGAAGGAAGGAAAGAAGGAAAGAAGGAAGGAAGGAAGGAAGGAGATACATATTAGCAATTGTTCAGGTTTTGAATTGGGCTAATTGGATATTCAGTCCAAGTATCAATGGTTCCACCAGCACAACATTTTTTCTCAGGGAAAAGTGAAAGGGACTTATGTGAGCAGATCAACTTGAGGCATGCCGCCTTTAATGTTTCATAATGATGTCACAAAACAATAAACCAAGCTAAATGCAGGGGAAATTATTTCAGAATGAAAAAAGAAATGAAAACCAAAGTTCCCTGCTTAAGCAATAGAATGTGGATACAGTGTCATCTGAATGAAGGATTTAGAGCACCTTTTGAAGCCTCAGCCAACCCAAGGAACAAATGACCCTTTGAGATTTTAAGAAGGCAAGGTGGACAAAGCAAGTTTATAATCGTTTACAATACAATAATTTGGACAGCCATTTCTGGAAAGTGCTTGTAAATTCAAGCTACTTTGAAATGTCTAATGACTGATTTCGCTCAGTTAAGCAATAAAGCTGCTTGACTGACCTCAGGGTCTGACAGGTTAATCTATTCTGACCTTTGCTTTATTCTATAATGATGCTGAAAGATCACTTGAATAATTCACTGTCAGTCAACAATGGCTCTGTATTTCCCCTTTGGCAAGCAGAGGAGTCAAATGTGACTCAATGCCAGATTTTCAGAACTATATGGGATACTACTAAGACTATTTTGTTCCAGGCAGTGAAATAAAACAAATTGCTTCTTCCACACCTCTTCATTCCAGCTCCCCTTCTCTATTGCTTGCAGTTTAGAATAACAAACAGCCAAAGCAAATTTCTACCATCCAAGTAACAATACATTTATAAAAGTGTGAAACCCTTAGGGACAAACAAATGGAAAAAGCTGCATATTGTTGTTTTGCTTGTGGGTTTTTATGCAAATTAGCTAAAATATGAAACCTGTTAATTAGAAATAGTATGTAGCTCTCCTTTATCTACAACAACACCTATTCTGTGTTTGCACAGAAATTAATGACACCAGAATTTTATTCCATGTTTCTGTGGAATATAGGACCAGTCCCACAAAACAAATATCTATCAAAGTCTAATAGTGTCAGGAGATTGATTACATATCATCAAGACAATGTTAATTCTTAAATGACAATATAGCTATACCCTTAGCACACTGTTCTCTTGCAAAACAGGGGAACATAATTTGGAACATAATGTGCCCAGAATGTGATAATTTGAACTTGATAATTTTTCCCTTGAGATAGAGCCCTAGAGTGATTTTTTTATTTCATTTTTTGGCCATGGCTGTCCATAATATTCTCATGAGTCTTCTCCAACATCAAAATTCAAATCATAAATACTCTTCCTATCCTGCTTCTTCAAACTCCATCTTTTACTTCCCTAGACTATCACAGGGAGCATATTATCAAGGAACTGTTCTTTGTAGATATAGACATATCATGGTATCAGAATATCTTTTCCAAGGTCTTCATTGCTAGTTACCCTTAGTAGTCTGCAGGATATTTTGTGGCTGGCAGTTCCTTTACTGTTGATAGTCAATCAAAAAAGCAGAAACTACCCACCACTTCAACAGTTTTGTTGTCACTTCTGATTGCTGTACCCATTGCCACTAATTTGCTCTTTTTTATATTTATATTTTTTATATTTAATCCTGCCTTCTTCTGCTCTTGGCAATCAGTTTCCACATTCACCCTAAGTTTGTTTGTGTGTGTGTGTGTGTGTGTGTGTGTCCATTCTGCAGGTTTTTCTACTTCTCTGTCAATGAAGTTCAACGCTTCAAAGTGATTCCTGATTTTTTTTTTATGAAAATAGTGGATATAGGCTCAAGATTACATTGTGGTAACCAGTTAGCTTTTTTTTTCATTTTCTTTTTTAGCTTGACTTGGAACTTGCACATGATCTTTTCATGTTGTTCTATATGTTCGCTGTTGTAAATGACTTCTTGTACCTTCTCATAATATAATGTAGTCAGTTTGATATCATTCAACCACCTCTTTTTTTGCATCAGTGGTTGAAACGGAAATTTGGATAACCATCATAATAAAGGTGTGCCTGCAACATTTAATTGATATTATTCAATTACAGACAGCATTATACCAATGTACTGTCCTAGTCATATCCTTCCTCATGATGAAAATGTGCCATTCCATTTTTGTTTTTCATGTCTTGAATAATAATCAGTGTATTTTGGACGGAACATGTCCGATTCCAGTTCATTGAAGCCTAAAATATCAGTGTGTAGATTGTTCATTTCATTTGCACTGTGTTGAATTTCCCTGTGTTCATGCTTCCTATGTTCTACCTTCCCTCTGTGGTTGCCTTTGCAGCTTGGGTTTTCTTTTCCTGCATAGCAACATCAGCAACTAGATTTTATTCTAGCACTATTATCCGTTCTTCCTCAGTATCATACTGAGTGCCTTCCTATCTGAAGGGCCCATCGTTCTTCCTATCAAAAGGATCTATCTATATTATTCATCATTTTTAGATGGTCTACCTATGTGGTTTCCTTGATAAAATACAGAAGTGTTTATCATTGCCTTCTCCGAGACAGTGTGAAATAATGACTTTGCCATTATCACTTAAGTGAACATTTACCTCCAACAACTTCATACATTGCTGCTGCCCACCATAGAAGCCTGCTTGCTTTAGCTGGATAGTCAGGTTGACCTTCATACCTTGAGTGACTCTGTGAGAATTTATAGGCTTGGTGTGCACTCTCAACATTTTTCACTTATCCCTCCCAGGAATATCCCCTTGCCACAATAAGGCAGCATAGAAGAACTGGGTGCAGGGAATGAAGGACACGCTTTATAAATACAAGTAATATAATTTGTTGTATTCTTTTCAAAAAAAATAAAGAGAGTTTTGTCACAGGCTCCCTTAAAATTGTACTTTATCATTAGGTAAAAAATGTACTTCATTTTAATGCTTTCATCATACTATAATGCTAAAAGTATTAAAATGATAGGTAACAAAGCATTGCCTTAACCACCATTCCTAAAACCACAGTTCTAGATATATAATATTGCATATTTAAACAAGACTTCTATGTTTAGAAGTGCATCTATGAATACTGGGGACTGATGACAATGTTAGAGAACTGTTTCTTTTATATCATATTTTTAGGTTTCCACCCTGATACTGCTCCAAAAATCTTTTAAAATTAGGCTTTCTCCCAAGCCTTGGGAAATGGTAGTTGTAGAGCCTTTGTTGTGTTTTTGTAATATATGTAGTATATTTTGTCCAGACAATCATAATCACATCTGTTCTTTTTATTTATTCTTTTAAAGGATAAGCCACCCATTGTCACTTTGGAGTCAGGCATCCTTTCAAATCAATCAATCTGGTTAGCATGACCATGTTGGAAGAAGAGATATAGCAAACATGATTTTAAACATTTAAATAAATGGAAAAAATTTATCATGTCAGCGTTCCTACCTTGAAAAGCTGTAATGTGACCAACAATCATATATTTCAGTTCAAAATTTAGAGTCTGAGTGTTCTCTATCCTCTCTCTTCTAACAGCTGCTTGATAATTTTCTTCCATTTTCTTAGTGCAGCATGTTGGTGATTTGTGTTGGCAAATCTGTAAACTGGAATCTGTACCCAAAAAAAAATGAAAATTTATTTAGTAACACCAGTAAAGACCAAGATCTTTTATTAGCAAAGTAATATTGTGTTATCAAAGAATAAAGAATTCATACTCTATTCACTGCTTAAGCACTGAATATCTATCCAGTGAGATTGCTCTATGTGGTGAAATCTAATCTTTCAGGGGCTGGGGAAAATATTTGAGAGTACGTGAACTGAGAAATACAACTGTATGTGCATGTGACTTTTTTTTTTACTCTAATTAGAGTGACACAACCATCATAATGCAGCCTAATTGTGCTAGTAATTGCAAATTGTTCATAAATACGTGGCCCAATTTTGTTCATTGGAGGTCTTAGCTCAGTATTTTAACAGGTAGTATCATCTCCTGCTAGATTATGCTAACATGTAATGTATAGCAGGAATCTTACAAACTTTATCCAGAGCACAACATCAAGTTCTTTTTCATTTTAAGTTAAATTCTCCATAACTTAAAGTATTGGTTTTGACATATATGGCTACTCTTTTTATTACAGAATTTTAAATCCATATGGTGGGCACTGAAATAAACAAAGCAGTATTAATAAATAGTACAAAACAGACTATGTAACCTTTCTTCATCCCAAGACTGTATATCATGAAGACATGGAATTTCTGCAGGTGTTCCCACCTATGCATCTCACACTGGGTTTGATGAAAATATTTATCTTCAGGAAAACTATTAATCACTATACAAAAAACAGAAGAAACCGTGACACAGAGACCCTAGCAGCAGTTGGTTGCTAAGATTCCTTGCCCCATTAATTTCTTGGACAAACACATAGAACGTTGAAGAGAATATCTACAGACTAAGGCCTACATGTAGCAAAAAGATTGCTCCTAAATAGAATGTAATAAAGCTTTTGTATGACAAAGACCACAATATAAAACAAAGAGTATTTAAAGACAAAACATAGAACAAGCCACATTCCCAGTTTAATTTCTTGAGGTCACCATAATACTGTGAATATAAAAAGTTTGATTCTTCAGTACTAGCTTTGGAAAATAATATTTCACTAATATACTCCAATATAAACTATTTTTGCACTCAGTCTGCTGTTGAAAATTATCGCTCTCACAAAATTAGAGATGGGCAGCTATATGAATTTAATAAATAAAAATAAATGCATAAATTAGCAATAATTTGAAAAAGGCCACAATTTATACTGTGAAACTTAATGCATAGCATACCACGACAGATAGAATAGGTACACAGGGAAAGAAGATGAGGAAAGAAGAAAATCCAGACAGCAGAATAACTGAATGGCACATTGCATATTACCACTCAGAGGAATTCATACCAGATTTCAAGCTGCGGGCACATCTGTACACCAGCTTGCAAAGCTGCTGGGTCAATGCATTCAGTGACCCACCTTTCTGCAGATGCTGTCTTTGGAGCCAGATTAAACTATCCAAAGCAGCTAACTTGAATGAAGACCTTTTTTGTAGTGGAAAGCTTCCCAAAGAAAGGCAAATCAGTTGGCTCTCTAAGATCTCTAAGATCTATATTCTCTAAGAATATATATTAGTACTGAAATTGGACAACCAAAATCTACTAGAAGTGGAAGTCAAAATCACTCAATATGCACCTTGAATGAAAATAAATATTTAAATGCAAACATGTCACTCTTTTATTAGAAATAACATCATCAAAATATAAAATCGCAATTGTTGGTTCACAAAATAGAGTCTGTCACTGTCAATTTTCAGTTATGCTAAGCAAATAATTCATATTTCTAAATACATTTTTGAGATATAAAAAAACCAGACCAAGATAAATCACTTTAGACTTTTTTCTGTCTTTAATATAACATATTAGCTGTACAATTCAACTGAAAAACACTGAAATATTTTAAGGGAAATAAAATAATAATAAAATTAACAATAATGTGATTGCATAAGTGTGCACACCCTTTATAAGTAGGGATGTGTCTGGGTTCAGAATTAACCAATCACATTTAAACTGATGTTAAATAATGCACACCTGCCATGCATTAAAGTAATTCTGACCAAGCCCATATAAAGTTCAGCTGTTCTAGTAGGATTGACTCGTTGCTTCTTACAGCAGAAAGGTATGGTCTGCAAACAGTTCACAAAGAATCAAACAGGTCTAATTGTTGGAAGGTATCAGTCAGCAGAAATAGAAAAAAAAATTCAACAGTGAAGACTGTTGTCAGCGAGTGGAAAAAATATGGCACAACAGTGACACTATCAAGAACTGGATGTCTAGCCAAAATTGATCACAAAACAAGAAGAAAACTGACCCAAGAGACCCTCAGCAACATTAAAGGGGCTGCAGGAAACTTTGGCAAGTACTGATTGTGTACTACATGTGTTGTCAACAATCTTCCATATTCTTCCTATATCTGGGCTGTGAGGTAGGTTGGCAAGACGTAAACCTTTTCTTACAAAGAAAAACATATAGGTCCAGCCACATTTTGCAAAAGCCTACATTAAGTCTTACAAAAGCATATGGGAAAATGTATTATGGACTGATGAGACCAAGGTTGAAATTTTTGGCCATAATTCCAAAAAGTATGTTTGGTGCAAAAACAACACTGTGCATCACCAAAGGTACACTGTACAGCAGGGGTCTTCAAACTTGGCCCTTTTATGACTTGTGGACTTCAACTCCCAGAATTCCTCAGCCAGGCAAACAAACAGGTCACACAAACAGATCACAATAATTGTTTCTCAAAAAAATCTGGTAAACTGTTTTTCAAAAAATTGAATCTTGCAGCTAATAACTACTTCCACAAAAAATCTAGTAAGCTAGTAAGTTTTGACACAGAATAAAATAATGAAGGTACTTGTATGAGAAATATAAGATAAATATTGAAAATTCAGTAGATTTGTATAAAAATTAGACAAGCAGATTATTTTTAGTTTTAGTTTCTGTTGAAAACTAATATGTTACTATTGGAATCTTATTTTTTTTTAAAAAAAAAAATAGTTTTGATCAGCCATCTGACTGCTACTCCATATCTTAACAATTGTGATTTGGGGAAAATATTCTAATATTTTGAGAAAAATTGGAAGAGAATAGGGAGCTAATTATAGAATCTTGTTGTAGCCATATTACATCAGCATTATCTATGTATCAGCCTTTTCCAATCCTGCTACAGTGCTCCAATTTCTTTGTGAAGGTACCGGAGATGGAAGAAAACAGGCTTCTGAGTGAGCCATTGTGCAATTTAGCCTGGAGTTTGGATTGAATCCAATTTTTATTTGAATGCTAAAAAACAGGACAAAATGCTTCTAGACTTCAGTCTTACGATTTCTTTAAAGGATGATATGCAACATTTTCTACTATATGGATTTTTTGCAGAAAAAGAAGAGATAAAATAGTAGAAAGAGAACAATATCTTCACTTTTCATAAAATTCAGGGAATGTGAAAGAAGAGTATATGATAAAGAATGCAATTAAGGAATTGCTGAATTATCTGCTATTCACTTTCTGAGTAGTACTGTCTATTTCTGCTGTCATCCAAAAATTCAACAATATATAGAGAGAATACAGGGTTTGCATATTTCCTTTCAGAATCACTTTCTGAAACTGCTTGTTAACTGCTTTTTGTCTATTAAGAACCTTGAGGCATAAAGTTTCATTATGTTACATCAGGAAATCTCCTTCAAACCTTAACAAAATGTTTTTTATGTAAGTTTAAGGGCTTAACTATTTTGCAATAAACTGCAGTAGGACAATTAAATATGGATTTTGTAAAGTTATAAACAGACTAAGGGGCTAGATAGATTTGAAATAAGATTTTGAAATTAATTACAATAATAGTTCCTGTAGGACAATGTCTTTGCCTGGGGGGGGAAAATTAAGACTTTGAAATTAAATACAAGAAATCTTCCTGTGGGAAAATAATGTTGATTGAGAGAAAAAAAAACCAAAATGGTTGAATGTTATTCACTAAAGGGAACCAGAAAGAAATAAAAGGTATAATTATAGAAGAAGAAATTTACTAATACAGATGAAGCAAATTATTTTAACTTGGGATGAATTCAAATATATTTGAATATCTTTGGGCCCAATGCCCAAAGAAGTTACTTTTAAGATTGTGTACTATCCCAAAACTGGATATTAAAAGAAGTTAGAGAGGAGGGGCATTCTTTACTAGGTAAGGTTGAGGCAGATTCAAATGTGGATTTAGAAATAACAGTTTACAAGAATGATTTGGATAAAAATGTTAAACTATATTTACAAAATAAACTGGCTGGTGTCTAAATAATTAGTATAAACCAGGAAAGTGATGTGGATAACTTTTTCACTTTGGATTCACAAAAGACGTGTTAAAGTTTTGAAGGACTTTCTGAAAAGATACAAAGAGAAAAGAAATCAAGACCTGGAACACTCTTTAAAGGGTATAAAGAATTACTGGATAATCGAGGAAATCTCAAGTCAAGAAAAGAATTGGAGGAACAAAGAATACTCATAGATTGGTGGCCATATTTACAAATTCAGTCTAGACATAACAGGGATAGGCAAGAACATGAAATTAGTCAGACCCCACACCAACTTGATAAAATTCTAATAAGTAAGGAAGGAAAACTATTATCAAA